GTTGCCCCTGGTGAGAGGCACCGAGCAGGAGTGGGCATACTTATTGCCCCCCATCTTGGTGCCTGTGTTAGGGTTCACCCCAGTGAATGAGAGGGTGGCCTCGCTCCGCCGATGTGTGGGGTGACGGGTTCTGACTGTCTTTTGTGCTTATGCACCAAACGGCAGTTCAGATTATCCACCCTTTTTGGAGTCCTTGGAGGGGGTACTGGAAAGTGCACCTCCTGGGGACTCTCTTGTTCTACTGGGGGACTTCAGTGCTCACATGGGCAATGACAGTGAGACCTGGAGGGGTGTGGTGGGGAGGAACGGCCCCCCTGATCTGAACCCGTGTGGTGTTCTGTTGTTGGACTTCTGTACTCGTCATGGATTGTCAATAACGAACACCATGTTCAAGCATAAGGGTGTCCATATGTGCTCTTGGCACCAGGACACCCTAGGCCGCAGTTTGATGATCGACTTTGTCATCGTCTCATTTGATCTGCGGCCACATGTCTTGGACACTAGGGTGAAGAGAGGGGCGGAGCCGTCCACTGATCACTACCTGGTGGTGAGTTGGCTCCGATGGTGGGGGAGGATGCCGGTCAGACCTGGCAGACCCAAACGTATTGTGAGGGTTTGCTGGGAACATCTGGCAGAGTCTCCTGTGAGACGGAGCTTTAACTTCCACCTCTGGGAGAACTTCGAACATGTTCCGGGGGAGGTAGGGGACATTGAGTCAGAGTGGGCCATGTTCCGTGCCTCTATTGTCGAGGCCGCTTACAGGACCTGCGGCCGCAAGGTTGTCGGTGCCTGTCGTGGCGGCAACCCTCAAACCCAGTGGTGGACACCGGCAGTGAGGGATATTGTCAGGCTGAAGAAGGAGTCCTATTGGGCCTTTTTGGCCTGTGGGACCTCAGAAGCAGCTGATGGGTACCGGCGTTCGACCGCGTCCCTCGGGGAACCCTGTGGGGGGTACTCTGGGAGTATGGGGTACCAGGCCCTTTGATACAGGCTGTTAGGTCCCTGTATGACCGGTGTCAGAGCCTGGTCCGCATTGCCGGCAGTAAGTCAGGCTTGTTCCCGGTGAGAGTTGGACTCCGCCAAGGTTGCCCTTTGTCACCGATTCTGTTCATAACTTTTATGGACAGAATTTCTAGGTGCAGCCAAGGTGTTGAGCAGATCCGTTTTGGTGGCCTTAGGATTGCGTCTCTGCTTTTTGCAGATGATGTGGTCTTATTGGCTTTATCAGATCGTGATTTACAGCTTTCACTGGAGCGGTTCGCAGCCGAGTGCAACACGGCCAGGATGAAGATCAGTTCCTCCAAATCCGAGGCCATGGTCTTGAGCCGGAAAAGGGTAGAGTGCCCTCTCCGGGTCAGGGAGGAGGATCTGTCCCAAGTGGAGGAGTTCAAGTATCTTGGGGTCTTGTTCACGAATGAGGGAAAAATGGAACGTGAGATCGATAGGCGGATAGGTGCAGCATTGGCAGTGAAGCAGGCGCTGTACCGGTCTGTCGTGGTGAAGAGAGAGCTGAGTCAAAAGGCGAAGCTCTCAATTTACCAATCGATCTATGTTCCCACCCTCATCTATGGTCATGAGCTTTGGGTTGTGACCAAAAGAATGAGATCTTGGATACAAGCGGCTGAAATGAGTTTTCTCCGCAGGGTGTCTGGGCTCTTCCTTAGAGATAGGGTGAGAAGCTCAATCATCCGGGAGAGACTCAGAATAGAGCCACTGCTTCTCCACGTCGAGAGGAGCCAGTTGAGGTGGCTTGGGCATCTGTTTAGGATGCCT